TCTCAGTGACCCAGAATTAGTAAAGTTTGACTCCATTTATTTCAGAAGCATTTTGGCTGTAGAGCAGTGTTATTGCTGATATCCGCCTGGAGAGAAAGGTTGTGCAGGATAGGGGGCTTAACTAGAACAATACAATATTAATAAATAAATAACACTTAAGAGTCTACAGTTAACTGAACTTTGTGTTGAAAAGCCATGTGTACAATAGACGCCAGCTTGCAATTCCATAACCATGCTGGATGTGCATTGTTAATCATCGTAAAAAAAAGAAGAAGATTTTCATTTATAAAGTGAGCAGACATGAGTCAAAGGCGCAGAGATATGCTGAGTAAGGAAGTACTATTTTACATAGTCCCTTTTCTGGGCATAACCACAATTTAGTAAGTGATAAATCAGTTCTTCACTGGTCAACTAGACAGCATGTGACTGAGTTTTAAAGGAAGTTAAGCTGAGGAGGCTCTAACTATAGTAAGTGTGTATAGTAAAAAAATCTGTAATAGATACATTACAGTAAAGAATTGGATTTTTGATTGCTGTCTGTTTTCCTGACTTTCTTGATAAGAGAACACTGGTTTTGTTATGTAATATGCATGGCACACTACATCTGTGAAGGCAATTTGCAATGAACAATTTATTTTACAAATTGAATCCTACTTCCTGTTCAATATTGTTGTAAAAATGACAGTCTAGTTGTAAAATTGGTTCATAATTCAAAATTATTCAACAATGTTTTATGCAAACTAATTTCGACCTGTGGATTACTCACAGTTTGCTACAAGTATTCCTTTGAATATTCTCTCTTCAAGTTATGGGTTTGATCACCTAGGTGACATGGCATTACTACAACTCCCATTGTAATTGTAATACAGCTCCCATTACTCAGCACCTCTGAAATTCAAGCTGGTTATTTTGATGCCTAAAGGTCTGCTCCAAAGCTCACTGAAATCATTCAGTGGGCTTTGGTTCCAGGCCCTAAATATGGAATCAGATACTTAAATGTAACAGCACAAGTTTAAAAATTTTGGTCTTAACCACTCTGTGCATCAGTTTCTCTATCAGTAAAGTGGGGATAACAGAAGTGACCCCTTATAATATGGGCTGAGATCTATTGGTGAAAAAAGCTGTATTTCTGTTTTTCTGATTGCCTGTTGTATCTTCCCCTCAAACCATTTCAATATTAGCTTATTTACTTTCACAGTGGATTTTTAGGAAATACTTTTTACCATATGTATTTTGTTTAAATTTGTTTTAAAATGTTGCATTACAATGAAAATCACAGTCAAGAAATCCAGATGTAGCATATAACTAGAACACTTTTAAGTGGCAGCCATTCTTACAGTACATCCCAAGACCAGGATGTTTCAATATCCTTTATATTGTCTCATTGTCCCAAGGCAAGGAATTTGATTTGCTCAGCAACATTTGTTAATTTATATAAAATACAGAATCAGATATAATTGTATGGAAATATTCACATCAGTTCTTTTCCCCTTTGTTTCTTTTCTTTTTTTATACATGGGATTTATGCTATCAGGATTTAACATTAAACAGATTCCTTATTTGTACTTAGCTTTCAGATTTGGATTAAAATAAACACTGGAGTGAATGAAATTAAATGTTTCTTTTGGACAGCAAACTGACAAAGAAAAGGAAATCCCTTGCTGTAGGATATTGCAGTTATGGGTCATGAACATTTAAGCAGGAGTTACTGCCATCCAGAGGCAGAAAGCCATAAAGTGTCATATTCTATTATTGTTTTAATCACAGAAAGGTAAACCCAAATGAATGGGTTGGTTGGTTAAGATCATTTCACATTAAGGCATCCAAGAATAGAGAAATGATAATAGACCTGACCAGAGGTTTCAGTGGTTTATTTTATTATATGAATCCATTAATGATACAAAGTTCTGTGTGATACTAGAGAGGATAGTATAGTATACAGACCCAGAGAGAAAGCAGCACAAGTTAACAAACCTTGTCTGCTTTCCTCTCTCCACTCTTGGATATTCTATTTAAATTGGGGATTCCAGGACTACCTGTGGTGGGGACCAGGGATGGGCATGAGCCAGTGGGGTCAAACACCAGAGAGGAAACAAAAGGTATTCATGTCTGTTCCCTTTATTTCTTGTAGATCCCTGGAGAGCTGCAGCTGAAGGAAACTCTTGGCTACTTCGACATAAGAGGCAAACCATCAATGGGAAAATGAGCAGGATACTCTGTGGACTTTCTTTTTGTCCTTGTGGATTATTTCCAAGTTATGGGATCTTTAATTCTCAAATGAGTGGGAGAGTTGTTTGAGTAAAGAGTTCAGGATCAGGCTGTAGCTTATTAAATAAAAAAGTTAGACAATCAAGTTGTCTAGTGTTGGAATTACAGTAAACTGGCAACATGTTAAATGTTTTCTTCTCTTTATGAGAGTGAAGGAAATGAGATTCTGAGAAGTATTTGAGTGGGCAACCCAATTAGCATGGTTTTTCCTGTTCTTGATAGTGATCAAATTTCCCCCTACCTCCACACACACGCACACACACACACACACACTTGTGTCAAAAATAGAACAGAAAATAAGGAATTAACTGAGATGTGGGACAAATAATAAGAAAAGGAAAAACCTTGATTATGCTTTCTGCCTACTATGTCCATGGCATTCAATAAAAAAAAACAAAGCTCTCAATTTTGGGGGGGGGGGAGAAATCAAAGGAAAACTGGGGACAAAACCACTGATAGAAGCATAAAGACAGCTTTTGAACAACCCACCCTCTGCCACAGTCATGTTAGGAATTCAAGACTGGAAATTCACTTTACTCCGGAAAACCGTTAATGGTGACCCAGAGAAAAATGTTTCAAAGGTCACTCTAAATCTACAGCTACAGAGCCAGCTAGATCAACCTTTACAAGATCTTACTTGCTTAAATAGGTTTTCTTTCTGAGAAGCTAGTTTCTGTTTCTTGCATGCCTCCTTACATTTGACATGTATTCTGTGCATGAACAAACTAACCTCTATTATAAATATTGTTGGTTTTACATGGATAAATACAGTGTCACCATTTTTACAGTATAAAAGATATTCCCTTAATGGAAATATTCTGCTCCTGTGTCCATTTAAAAAAAGTTTTCATGCCTTTCATTATTGTTAATTATCAGGGTGTTGGGTTTTTTATATTAAACCATTTGTATTGGAGTGAATCTTTTCACTACCAAAAACTGTCCTATAATTGTTAAAGCAGGTTTAACAATGCCCTCTACTGGATTCATAGCTGAAATGACAAAAAATATCAGGTGATCGAATAGGGAACACAGTTAAAACCAAGCAAGATTGAACTGAATGGTGAGTGGATATTAATTCCCTACAGAGAAGTTCAGATTTGTGTTTTGTCCAGTCTTCGTAGGTCAAAATCATGTGGTTCCTCTATCAAGCAGCACTACCTCAGTTAGTGGAAACATTTTGCTGTAAACAGTTATATAAAATATTATCCCATTAAATATTCACCATGTTAAAAGTTACCAAGAAGGTGGCTGTTTAGGTTTCAGACCTTTAAGACACTATCAAATTGTTTCACAATAACTTAATGATTGTTATGGTAATAAATTAGGCCCTGATCCTGCAACTGGATCCATGTGGGTGATCCCTTGCACCTGTGCAGAGGAGCTCCAATGACTTGACTGGAACTCTGAATGGACAGATGGGTCTGCACATGTAGATTTGATTACAGAATCATAGCCTTGGCTGTAGTATTAGAGAGAGAGAGAAGTAGAAAGATGCCAGTCAAAAAGTATCTGAACACCACATAGCTTGGTGCAAAGCACACTCTGGTATTTGTGGTAGAAAGATTGTCTTTTTAAAATAAAATGTTGCAGCTCAGAACCTTTCCCTGTTTAATGGATGGCACTGCTCTATAGCACTGTAAATGTGAATATGTTTTTAAGAATATTTTTAAATACAGTGCAATGTCCTTTAAATAGGGACACATAATTATTATTATGTATTTATTGGTATTACCAAACACCGCAAGAGCCTAATCAGGGACCCAGAGCCCATTGCACTGAACAGTTGTGTTATTTTTACAAAAGGTCAGTATAACAATTATAATTGTAACATTAAAGAAAGATGATTGTAAGAACAATAGTCTGTTCCCTCAAGTGTCTGTGACATTGTATACATGATAGACAGTATAGTTAGTTTATGATGACAGACCTACAAGGTTATATCAATTTCTCTGATAAGGACTAAGGCCCAGATTTTTAAATTTATTTAGGCATTTGCTGCACTCAGCCTCACGATGCCTAAATGATTTACAGCCTAAATCTCATTTTCAAAAGGGATTTAGGCACTTAGCTGTCTAAATCCCCTGGACAGTCAATGGAATTTAGAATCTTAAATGTCCAAATCCATTTGGAGAATAGGATTTAGGCTCCTAAATCAATTAGGCAATGTAGCACTGAGCACAGCAATGCCTAAATAGCTTTTAAAATGTGGATATAAGCTACTTACAGATTACCCCAAATCCTTATGGAAATTATATCAGACCAGGGAGGTGTGGACAAACCTTATTGTTGGCAGTGAACCAGTCCCTGTGGGTTACCTGGAAGGTTTGGTTTAGTCAAATACTCACCTCCAGTGGAACCCTCTACAGTCCCCCTTCCTTTTCTCCAATGAGCAGCAGGACCACCCGTCCCCCCATTCTTATCTTTATATGTCTTCAGAAAGGTAGTGGAGCTTTTGGGAAGAGAGTTGGCTGTTGCTAGGGAGGCATAAGGGAGCCAGCTTCCCAGCAGTTTGTACCACCTAAGTTCACACCTGCTTAACTTTCACAAGCATGCTGATCTTCAAGAACACACCAAACCTGTAACCCAAGACTCAGTTCAAGTGGTTTCAGGTTCTCTGTAGATATTTAGCACAGCTGTGTGTAACCAAGAAAAACCCTTAGGTCTCGTATGCATACAAATACTTCATGTACACACATTTTGGCAAGTATTTTAGTAATTCTGCACCTTTCAAATTAGCAAATGAATTATAATTCTATCCACAGAGGGCTTGGTAATGGAGAAATTTCCAGAACAGCTGTAATCTTCCCGTTAACCTTTGAGCCAATGGTATGCCTGCCCCATTTGGAGATTTATTTGTTAAGGTAACAGAGAGGTCAAAGGCAATGAGCCTTCCACTTCTGTAAGTTATGTGTCTGGTGACGTGCAGTAGGAATTACAATTGATCTCTGCTTATAACTCCTGTGAGCTGTCCCTTTTGTACCTGCAGACCCAGAACCCAGGATTTGAGTATCAGTAACCCTAACAGACCTAAAAGAGACAAATGAATGTCTTTACTTGTGCACAAACTTGCTTTGTAGCAAAATACTTGTCTACTTATTATTCAAATAATTTCCAATGGCAGAGAAAAAACTGAAATCTTGTTGTTTGTAGACCTATGAGGTATAATCCAGTTAAAAGGTGGCTTTTTATTATTTAAAAAAAAACAGGATCCTTCCCCTTCACCTCACCACATACTGAATCTTAATGAAAGTACTTGTACATGTTAAACTTATCTTTACTGTATAATTCATTTTGGCAAACAGGAAAGTCACCAATGTATATAACATATGTCACAGTCAGTTAAAAAATCCAGCAGAATATCTTATTGATTTCATTCAACTACCTACCACAAAGAAATTTAATGAAGTTGGTAGTGAAAGAGGACAAGCCTCATGTTTTTTGCCACTGTACCAAATACCTCCAGTAAAACATTGTGTCATCTCTACTTCCATCATGGGATGATCTATTTTAATAGCATGTGAGGAGCAATTGATCTTACAGGTAACAGATAACCCTAAAGCAGCAGCGTCCTAGAAAAGCAGAACAGAAATCACCAGCTACTGTTTCCAACTGAAAGCTAGCGATAGTAAGAGCTATATTTTACAGGGCCAAAGTAACATTTTGCTCCATGTAAAATATTTGCAATATTACCAAAAAATAAAAAACACCTATCAGACTATTAAAATTGGGGCAGGGGCACGATGGTAGTGTTAATATGTAAGGGGATGCATGGGCCAGTTCTCAAAACATTGGATATAATTTTCCACCACATTTGACCAGCTAAATACACACAAACTCTGAAGGGTTTTGGCAAGATCCACAGTATTTTTTCTACTGACACACTAAGAGAAGAAATCTCAGAACAGATGAAATCATTGTGGTAGAATGTGTTTGTATATTTTAAAAGAATCAGAGGTCAAGACAATATTCTAAAGGCAATTTATGGTAGTAATTCTATGCATGTTTTCTGTGTTGCCTATTCCATGAAGCTGCCCACATCTGGCTTCCTAAATGGATGAGCGCCAATGCAAACTGTAAGTATTAACAATTGCCAAGAGAAATTGTCACTCGGTGCAGTCCCTCTCCCAAAGCATGTGCCTCACCCATGGATTAACTGTTAGCTCAGGAAGTGATGGTGAAATTTAACTCTTTATTTTATCTTCTAAATGCAACAGTGTAGGTCTATTGGCAACAAAAAGGCACTTTCTATTTATTAAGAAATATTGGGCAAATCTCGACAAGACTCCAAATCTGTGGAAGGCTCAGTCTGCAGGAGAGTTTATGTAGTTAAGATGTTCAGGGGAACATCTACAATGTGTAGAGACTGCCGGGGCCTGTATGACCCTGATGGAACAGCCCAATCAAAATTCTATAGGATTTAACAAAGAATATTATCCCTGCTTTCACTCTCTATTGTGCGGTTCAAAGAAAACCTATACAAAAGTCTCATTTTCTAACTTCTTTAGGTTTTTAGAATAATTTCTGTAGAACCCCGTTAAATCTGGTAGGAGCAGTCCATGAGGATGATGTTCAGGCCCATAATGCCCCAAAGCCCAGCTCTACAGAGGTTCCTTCCCTGATGACATGTAGGAGGAGGCAGCTTGTGAGGGTGGAAGTATGCAAAGGCAACTACAAGGGCTCACTGTCCTTCTCTTCCCACACACGCATCATAGGGAATACCCAGACAGCTGGCAGGATGGCTCACTTTAGCTGTGCAAGCTGGCAGGAGGAGCAATGAAGAAGCAAGTACAGCTACTCCTGTTGGCCATTATAGGAACTGCACCAAAAAAAATCAGTCCCTGCTACTTAAGACAGTGGCCCAAATCTGTGTATTGTTAGCAAGTCTGTGTATTTGAGACCTATATCTCAGAGCAAAATTATGAAGGCTCCTGTGTTGGAGAATTTAATTTCTCCATCTGGAGATAGTATAGGTACTCTGAGACACCTGACTTCTCTGAGACAAGTGAGTTCAAGTTTAAGGGAATGGGATTCCTTTCAAACATTTGCTTCTGTTAAATTGTGTGTGTGTGATATCAGAAGGCCCTAAATGTAGAAGAAACATATTGCAAATTGGTGGCAGTGAGCTGAAGTACTGATACAAAACATCCTACAGTCATTCAAACATAAACCAGAGTTAATTCAGCTGAACTGTTACTATCTTGTTACATTTGCAGTGAATCCTGCCTTGTGATGACTTGAAAGACTAATAAAAGTCAGGAATAGAGGTGGTAATAAAGGTAGATGGGAATGATGCCCAGTGCATTTGGGATACTTTGTACAGGATTCACTGTATTTCACATTCTGAAATCCTCACAAAACTGATTAATTTACTGGTTGACTTACTTGTGAAAAGTTCAATTTAAAGTTGAAATACGAAATCCTAACATTCCCACCTATAAATAACCAAATACATTTTGCAAAGTTACTTCCTGGTGGTCAATCCTACTTAGCTTCAATCTTCCATGGTGCATTCATTACATGCTGGAAAACATAGTCAAGGGTGAAAAAGCCACTCACAGAGCTGTCAGACTGCTGATATTCCAACCTCCAGCTTCCTTGAATGTCTGGAAGCCAAAGAAGCATTCTAGTATTTTCAGTGTCTTTTGAGAAAGGACTTTGATAACCAGTCTAAATACAAGCATAATACTCTGTGGACAATGGAAGACAATAAACAGCTTTGAGATTTTCTAGAGTCTTCTATTAGCTTGTCAGAAGCCATTAGCAAAACTCCAAGTTACTTTAAGAATCTCAGTTATTTTAAAAAAGGGAGGGAGGTGTAATTAGTTCTGATGTAGGACTTATTTAATGCTCTTCAGGATATTTCAGCTATTTCAGAAGAAGCCATCATCAGAGTACAGATTACATGGGATCAGCAATTTGAAAAGGATTTTAAATGCTGGAACACTTCCTCAGCAATTAGACATCTGAGAAAGTCTGGCACTATCCACTTCCAACTATCAGCCATGTTATGCACTTTTTCCAGTCTTATTTTCTTGAATGAAATGAGGAGACCCCAAACGGAAATTTGGAATTGACTTAGAGAAATCAGCTAGATTTGGCTTTCCTAAAGGCAGTC